TTTTTTTTAGAGTGTAGTAAATACATTTCAGAAATCAAATGCAATCCATTTGCAGAAAGAATTTACTGATTTATTAACAAATGATTTTATTGTTGCTCACAGTCAACATTAGTAAATGACAATCCAACACGATTAGTTCGAGTTCTATGCGATTGAAAATGACCTATCTCGATGCAAAAACGATCTAACAAAACAAAACAAAAAGAAAGTGTTTATATTGGTAGTAAATGATTTATTTTTGTTCTATTTCAAATACCTTTTTTTATGAATTGATGCCACGGTAACTCTTTGTCGGTGACATGATAATTACAAGAATCACCTAGAAATTGTTTGAAATTATTATGACACTATTTTTTTAATTGCTTCGTACCAGTGATTTTATCGAGAAACCAACCACGTTTGTTTACTCTTCTTTTCAATAATATTTGTACGTATACCATAGCAAAATCATTTGTATCGGGTAATTGTGAAATTGACGTATCGCTAGATACGCATACATATTGTATGATAGGCATTGGAAATTGTCGACAAATTTCTAGCATGATATACTCTTCTATTCAATTCAACAACGAAAAACAAAAATTTGTATCTAAGTCATGTTTATATGATCAAAAAAAGCCACAAATTTTTCTCACTTGCAATATTAGTACAACACACAATCGCATACATTCGTTTTGACATACGATCTGTATTAAAGAGTCTTTTTTCGAACGTTTTAATGCCGTTGAGATCAAAACGATATTTACGAGCAATTATTTGATGATCTAAATCACACGTTTCAAAAAAAAAAAAAAGATGTATATATATTTTCAGTTCCTCAAAAGTCTTACCAAAACTTAGATCAGTTAAATTAAAACTTTGTATTGTTGTAGAAGACGAATAGTTTTCGTGAACGTTTTCTAATGATTGGTCAGCAACAACTTTCTCAACATTGCTTGAATGAAACGAATTAAGTGTTGTTATATTCGATTGAACAGAGGGTGTGGTCTTTTTAATGTAGTTTTGCTTCAAAAAATAAAAAAATAAAAAAATAAAAAATAAACAACATAATCTATTATTACGACACCAACGAAATACTTTGTTTCATATAGACCACTTACGAAATATGTTTCGAATTCGTTTGCAAAATCTTCGATATTATTCGAATTTACACATAATTGTTTTAAATCATTATGCGTACTGAAAATGTTCGGTGTTATTTGTTGTGAAACGAAAGATGTTTCATTATAGTTATAGTCTAGAAATATTTTAAAAATAAATCAATATAAACACAACGATCATTGTATTATCGTACATGGTTGATCAAAAAGTTCTTGTGTTGCCATATCTAAGTGGTCACTAAAAGTGTGATCATTTTCATGAAAGTCATATGATGTTGTGGAAATCATGATGCTAACTTGATCGAATGTAAATATGAAATGAAATGAACTAGAACTAGCTTTTGTACAACACTTATATAGGGTACGGCAAACGGAGAGAGACGATATAGCCGTATTTTTCACGGCCGATCGTCATTGGAAAATACCCATTTTCTTATGTAAATTATCGCCTGAATTACCCTGGATCTGTCTAAAGACAAAGAACAACTTCTGAATAGTGTCGTGCTTGTCTGTCGACGGTCAAAGGTCAAGAGGTCAGATCTCGTCTGCGACCTTTCACCGTTCTTGTACTTTCCAGTATATGTTATATTTATTTGTCAAATTCTTACTATTTTTCATTCAATATTGCATTACTCTTAAAACATTATATTTTTCAAATACTGTACTGGTAAAAAAAGTACTTTAACGTTTCTGATAGCATTTCTGAAGACTTTTTTTCTTAAGTATATACTAAGAAAAAAAAACACGTAAAAATTTTTATTTTTGTTGCATATTGTTAAAAAGATAATTTTTTTTCTCTTACTATCAAATTTTTATTCGATGAAATTTTATTCGGCAAATCAAACACATGTGTTGCTTGTATATCAGGTTAGCGATCAATTAAGGCTAATATATCTTGAGTTCTCTTTTTTTTCTGTTTTTTTTTTTTTTTCTTGATTAATATTATTGTTGTGAATCTGTGTATATTTTACAAATAATAAAAAATCGAATTTTACTACATCAATTATCTTCTAGTAAAGTTGTGTTAAACAAGTTTGTACAAAAATTATGAATATCAATGATTTTTAGTACAAATGAGCACAGAATACAAATTCTCATATTTCGCGATCGATTTACACCTTATGAGTTGGTCCATTTATGGAGTTCGAAATATACCGTATTTGTTTCATTATAAAAAACAAAAAAAAATGTCGAAGCTATTATTCACTCAGAAGTAAAAATAGAATTACAAACAAATATGTATGCACGTATGTTTGTATGGCAACGCCATCTATCAACGCTTTATTTCAATTGGTTTGTTTCTAAATGACCCCCTTTTTTTTGTTTCTCCCCCCCCCCCCCCCCCTCGTCTTCCAAAATACTTCGCCACGTGTTTTTTTTTCTCTTCTGAACGGTTGAATAACGAATTTTCTAACTGTCTAAGTATAAATAGTGGTGCTTTTTTTCATTTTTCTAATCATTTTCTCACTATCTTGTTACCGTCGTCGCCATCATCATCAGCATCAACTTCAAATGAATTCAGGTCGTTCTCATAGTAAGTAGTTCTTAGTTTTGAAACATTTCTGATGATTTCAATTAAGATCATCTTCGTAATTCTCGTCGTCATCAGTTGTTGGAACAACAACAGCAACAGCTACGACAACTACTACAACAACAACAACAACAACTTCAACAATATCTACAAAGTCGATCAGACCGCGACCAGGAGTGACTATATCGAAAATTCATTTTAAATATGAATTAATTGTTTTTTTCTTTTTTTTTTTGTTTTAATTACAGACCAATAAGAATCGATCTCAACGTCGCGGTTCTGATCGACCTGGTCTTTTGGTGGTGTCTTGCCTTGTTGGCAATGTTTCTCCTCCTTCTCATCTTCGTTGTCTAATGAACGTCGTTTCTTTTTTTTCCTTTTTGTTGTTGTTACTGTTTTTTTTTCTTCATTGAAATAATAAATTGTGAAGCATACGCTAGATTTGTTCTACTTAATCCCTGAAAAATCAAAGAAAGCTGCGAATTACTGTGCGTCTAGAAAAAATTCAAACTTGATATATCTCTTGGAATAATAGGGCAAAAAGAAAAGCGATACTCAAAAGTCTTCTATCAGAAGTTATTCCAAAAAAAATATCACAATCCTTGAATAAAGTTCTTTCCATTCTTCCTGTTATCAGAGAAGTTTTAGAATCTGTTCAACTTTATCGACAAAAAAAAAAAGAAAATACATCAATTAACAGAAATATACTAGAAAACATATATCGAAATGTCGGTATTTCTTAATGGCTTAATTAAAACTTTGAATTAAACAATGATATGCGGAAAAAAAATATTAAAAAATTGTTTTCAAAATTTTTTCGATTCCAAGTTCACAGCTAAAACTTTTAAAAAGAGTGTAAAATATTTTTGCCAGACATTTCTAGGTATCGGTTCACTTATTTGTGCGTCAGGTCAGTCGTGTCGTACGACACAATTCTTAGACAAAAATTTTGGGTATTTTTTTTTATGGCTTCTCTTGGCGTCAGCTATAGCGCAGAACAGAGAAGAAACAAGCATATATTCGTCCAACTCAGTAAGAAAAAAAAATAGATTTAGTCATTTTTCTTTGAAATCTAAACTTGGCTAATTCTCTGCTATAAATACTGCTGTATTTTGTAGTTCACGTTCATTTCAGCACAATAACCTCCAGCATTAACATTAACTATTCTTTTCTTTGTCTATTTGTCTCTATTAGTTTAACTATACATTTTATTTAATTTTTTTTTTGAATATGTCACGTAAATACTTAATCAAGAATGTCCTATGTCGAAATTTTATTGTTTGTTTTTGTATTATTGAAGGTCATCGAAATTCTTCTCAACAACAACGTCACCACCATCATCGACAACCACAAAAAATTTCACAACTAATCGAAGTATCGAAGGATATCAACTCATCGAAGATCCAAGTTACAATAAAATCCGATGGGTACGTATCGAGTTTTTTTTTGTATTTTAAACGTCCATTTCCATTTGAATGTCAGTTAATTGTATATCGCTGAATGTCTGGAATGTTTTTTTTTTTTTTGTTTGATTTTTATGTATTGTTCGTTTTTTAGACCAGTGGATACAGTGGTGGTGATTGGTCCATCTGTTCTTGGGGAAATAGTGTCGACCGTCGCGGCGCCACCATCACCACAATCATCATCAAGTGGTACATTAACACCATCACATTTCTACTCACCAGCTAGTCCATCAGTGCTTGATCTTCCAACACAATTATTCACCACCAACATACCATTAGACATGCGCATTGTAAAAGAAAAACCCTATTGAAGATTGTCATTAACTTTATTTATTTTTTTTTTCATTTCTCATTAGGCTCAGCCCTAGGTTTTGTTTTCTTTTTTGAAAATTTTTTGTATAATAGATGAAAAAACATAATTATTATGGAATTTGACATCATTCGTTTTAGCATATATGTTAGTACAAGATAGTCATTGAATCCTATTTGATCACGATATGTTCTGAAGCTACTTGTTCTGTATTCTAGGGTGACGGCAAATTTGTTTTTAATTTTATCCAACAAAGAGTTCGTTCAGCTACAATGCCCGAAATCATTCTCATCCATTCTCTATTCATTCATTGCACGAAAAAAAATATTGAGAAAATGTTTAACTTGTAATTTTATATGAAAGCAGTTCGATTAGATGTAGAACAAAAACAAAAAATGGTCTGGAAAGAAAATCGAAGATATGCACTGAACTGACTGAAGAAAAAAAAAACTTTAAAATCGTTCAACAGTTGCTATTCTCAGAAGATTGTTCAATGGTCAAATGCTTACATGTAAAGTAAATATTACAAGTAATTCGTAACTTTGCCACTTTGTTATCCAATTCTAAAAAACTTATTATGCCTGTAATATTTCAGAAGGCAAAACTTCACGAATCATTCATTTTTTTGGTGACGTGAAAATTTTCCTTAAATGTTACATTGAAAATGTACAGGGCATATATAAGTATTGTCTCAACTTTTTTTTTCTAAGTAGTTTTTTCCTACGTGAAAGTGGTTCTAGTGAGAAAGATTACAGTAATGAGTTCATGGCAACTGAAATGTTGTATTTTTTTTTCTATTACGAACTCGTACATCAGCATCCTCATTCCTCAAATCTCTCTGCTTCTACATTAGAATTTTGGTATTGGAATGTGTTATCCTCTGAATTACTAATTATTCGTTAAATAAATTGACGAGCGATTCAAAGTAGTCGAAATATTTTCATTGAATGCAAAAAAAAAAAGATCGTTTTCCGACACAATCTCTGTAACTGAAATCTTTTCATTGTTATGTTGATTTTGTTTTTAAAATGCAATTATTTTTACCATGCCTAATAACATATTCATTGAAGTATTTTATTAAACAGCACTGAATCCATACAACTGCGCCATCTATTGTTATTTTCCTTATGATTGGTTATCTCAGCGGCGCAATTTATTTTTCCGTTCTGTCACTAACGGTCTAGGGAATGGATGTTGATTTAACCTTTCGCTAATCGAGTAGGGTCAGGATGTTGTTTTGACCTTTCTTTAAAGGTTATCGTCTGGCTATTTTTACTCTCGGTCAGTAACGGTTTTTTTTTTCTATGGAAATTCTTTCAAATCGTTTTCTCTCTCTCTCTCTCTCCTCGTCTCGAAGTTTATTTAATTGTTTTTCATTTATCTATTTCATAATCACTCTGTCGTCTTTTCGTACTGCTTGTCGTCGTCGTCATGAACCATATATCCATTTCCAGTAAATTTTTTATTATTATTAAACTTTAACTAGAGGTTTTCAATGTAGGTAGTCATAATCAACAAAAAGGCCGTCATCGTCATCAACAACGGCGACAAAAAAAACAGCAACAAAAAAAACACCAGCAACAACATAAAACGGAAATAATTGTACCGGTGGCTGGTATTGATTTAACATTTACGATCACCTCGGATAGGTAAGCTTGATTAGAAATTCTAATAAATATATCATCTTCTTCTTTTTTTTTTTTTTTTCAGTCCGATGGAAGTCGAGGTGGAGGCACCGGCGGAAATCGTCCCGGTGCGTCGTGGTGGCGGTACTCAGGTACCGACTAGTGGTGATGGTGGTGGAGATATTCAGGTTCCGACTTGTCCTTGTGGTCGTTGTGGTGTTCCGGTGCCAGTTCGAGGTGATAGTCAACCGGACTACAGCCAATTTTTGATTGACAATATCAAGTAGTTTTTTGTTTTTTTGTTTCTTTGTGATTCATTCCTATTTTGTTAATCATAAAGAATTGAACTTGGATTAAATGTTTTCATACTTTTTTTTTTTCAATGATAATTGAAACTATGTAAATCGTTCTTTGTGTTGTCAAGCTTTACACTAGAAGAATCTAAAAAAAAAGAGGATAAACATGAATACTGTTTTCGAAAACATTTCGATGAAAATACCTGAAAGACTTTTCTCAAACGTAAGTATTGACTAATGCAAAAAAAAAAAGAAAACAAAATAAACTCTAACAATAGCGTACAGGAACATTCTTCAACTTGTCTATACCGAAACTCTAAAGTAATAAGATTCTAAAGGAAATTGAATATAGAAAACGTGAAAGTGCTCGAAAAGGCCATTGGCACCAAAAGAATTATGCGATTGTTTGAAGAGAATATTTGATACGGGGTGAAATGTTGAAACTCTGTTTGGTGTTCGAAGAGTAGAAATCTGTTGGAGAACGCGGCGAAAAATCAATTCTACGTAATTTGAATTTAATTTTACTACGTGAACGAAAAAAAGCTCAATATATTCATCAACAACAGTCAAATCGTGGTTGTCTACTACCAAAAAGCAAACTAATGTCTTGAAAAGTTTCAGATATATGAAAATTTTCTCGGATTTTCATAGCGAGTCTCAAGAAGAAATATCTGTGTCCATTTTCAAAAGAAAATACCAATTTTTTGTCATTGTTGAAAATATCTTATTTTTTTCTCACGTGAAACAACACAAAGCCAATACGAATGACTTGTTGCTATTCAAATTTAAAGATTTCTGATAAATTTTTCTGACAGAAAAGTTTGACAATAATTTTGGCTTTTTTTTCCTGTGTAAGATGTTCGTAAAACCTTTTTTTGGAATCTACTGCTTACTTCTCAAATGATAACATCCATTAGCGATATCGTTTTCGAGTATCTTACGATTGGTTAGCTCCATTGGCGGAATTTTCTTTTTCGTTTTGCTCTTTCAACACGGCACGTACGATTTTCTTCTAGTAAAAATTTGAAAAAAAAATGGGGATATCTCTCTCCGAATAAGCAACTAAATATAAATATGGAAAATTCGGATACGATTGCGTCATTCATTTATTTGTTGTCTTCTCGTGTTGCTGATCTCCAATGGAATATATTAAATTTGCTAGTAAGTTTTTTTCCTGAAATCGAAGGAAATTTCCATCAGTGATTATTAGCTCGTCGTGGTATCCAACGACATGGTCCTCGCCGTCATCAACAACAAAGCAAAAAACAACGACAAGAAAAACAACTACAAGCACAACAAAAGCTACAACAGCAAATACAACAACATTTACAATCAAATGAACGAAATAAATGCCGTTCGGTTTATTTGTTTTTTTGTTTTTGTTTTCTTTTCTTGCACGTACGTGCTCAATAAATTAATTTGGATTTTTGTGTGCAATAATAAATTTTTCTAGCTAAAATTATTCTTTCGTTAAACACAAGGAACCGAAAGTATAAGGGTTTGTAAATACGCAGTGCCCATTTGACAAATATCAGCGGTCACAGAAACAAGGAAATAAGACCACACAATACTCGTGTGTCAGGATAATTCCATTTTGCTGAAGGAAAAAAAGAATGATATTAATCTAAATTCAAAAAATAATCTCTTCCTACTACGATTGTTTGAAGAAATGTTATGCTTTCTGACAATTTCAGTTATCCGCACAGAATCCAGACAAGTACATCAACATGATTATATTCCAAATATAGCTTGAGAATTGCTTGAGAATTTGAACCGAATACTTTCATCTCCCTCCTATTAAGTAACTGAGCAAATAAATGAAACATTTCAGACCTCGCTATTTGTATACGAGTAATCTGACCAGTACAGAAGCAAGTATTTGTATAGAAAAAAAAACACGAGGATGAACACCACCTCAGAAAAAAATAACAACACTTAAGAATCAAAGATTAGAGGGCGGGTGCATCACGGCGTGTAGACAAGATTTTTCACATATCGTTCTCAGAGAAAAAAATTTATTTTATAATAAAAAAAAAGAGTTATGTCAAAATTCTTCGTAGAAAAATTTCCAGCATGTGATCACATAAAAATTAGAAAAGAAAAACATAGGTTAACAGCAATTCTTCTCTTCATGTTCTGAAGACAAAGAATTGAGACTCAGAAAACATAGGTTGAAAATTTATCAAAATTCAACAAAAATAAAACATTAAAACAATGTCATGCAGAGAAAGATTCTCTGTAACATGAACAAAGCGATATTTCCAAGAACTTATCTTTGACCGACCCATTTCTCATGTATAACTTTTTATTTCATAAACTAGAAAACTGTTCTGTTTCGAAGGTAAAGAGGAACCATTAAAGCTTTTGTGCGCTGCGGATACCCTCAAAGTTATTAGTAACACTATTTCAATATTTCCCCAAAAAGGGCGTTAAAAAAAATTCGATGAATGTCTTTTATTAATTATACTTCTCATTTACTGCTAAAAACAACGTATAACAAAAACCTGTATCTTGTACATATTTACCACTGTCTGTATCTGAGAATCCGACTGAATTCTTGTCATGTTCCACTCTAGAATTCATAGAATTTTTGTAATGTTTCATTAATGGTTGGCCATTCCGTAGAACAGCGCCATCTTTATTTATTTTATTATGATTGGCTATGCGAAAAGGCGGTTTTTTTTTTCGTTCTTTCACTATCTTTTTTTTTCTCCCAGCGAAAGAAAAATAATTTTTCTATAATTCTCTTTTTTTTTTTTTTTTTTTTTTTTTTTTTCGCCGGGTATAAATAGCGGTGATCTTCATACCGCAATCATTCTCGAAGATTTTCATCAAGTATGGTGATAGCTTACTCAGGACGCTTTATTTGAGAATCTTCATTAGGTCTGCTCACGTTCCAGTTAGAGTTTCCTCGCAACCTTTTCTATCTTCAATTCAAAACAATTTTTTCATTTATTTCCTATCAATTTGACAGAAAGAGATTCTAGTAAAATAAAACCAAAGAAAACATAGGATATAATACCAACTTTCGAAGTGACAGTATTTTCTAACTCAGATGTTTTTTTTTTTTTTTTTTTTTTTGTTCAATTTTCATAAAGGCTAGTATTAACGTTTGATAGATCGTCTATCGCGTCTGATTAGTCATTGCTCGTCTACTGTAAATAATCTGTGATATCTATTTATCCATAGCTAGTAAGACATAACTGCTCGGTCATAAGTGATCGGTTGTAGCTTCAACGTCGTCTGTCACAGAGCGAATACATAAATATAGATTCTTAATGAATTCCATTGCAAACAGATTCAGTTAGACTTATTTCTCAGTGTTCCATCACATTTGATTACAAAATGTTTTTTCATCCCTTTCTTTATTTATATATATATTAGACTAAACAAAATAATATAAGTTAAATCTGACAATATGGTTTCTCAGACTCCAAGATTTTTTTTTTCTTTCATTCTTCATCATATTTCGGATCGGTCTATATGATTACTTGCTTTTTTTTTTCTTCGTATATTTATTTTTTATAGTTTCAAATAATTCTATAATTGAATATTCATATTTCTATCTACCATTCATATCCTAATACAATTTCAACGAAAGCACTAACATTATCAAAAATAGATATGGATGATCATTATATCAAATCAGATACTGTTAAAAATATATCTAATGATCAAAACAAAGAAGAACGAAACAATGCTTCTCAAAACAAACTTTCTCCAATTCGTCCAACAACTTTAAATATGGTCAGTATTTGTTATAGTAATTTTTTTTTTAAATAAAAGCCTCTCTCCTCTTCTATGTAGACAACAATAAATACGACTTCGCAAGGAAATATTCAACGTTATAATATTGATAATATTCATATGACTCCATCGCCTACAGATATTCAACCTCGTATATTTCAAGCAGGCTCATTATTCGATTTAGAAACATTTGAACGTATAAAATTAAATGCTAATGATCGAACAAAAAAAACTATGATAAAAAAAGAAACAGACGAAGACAATGATAATGAAGAAGTTTTCGATCATATTTCAAATCCAACAACAACAAATGAAATCAAACGTTTAACTCAATTAATTATTCATGAACGACCCGGACATCGCAATGAAGTTGCTGATATTCTTCTTGATTTGATAGGTTTAGTAAATAATACAATTACAACAACAACAACAACAACAACTGTATCAACTATGATAGATGCCAATGATATAAATATTGACGAGAACAAAACATCATCAAAAATGAACATTTCTTCACATCCATATACACCTTTAAATCAAACAGGTATTGTGGCTGAGCATGATCGACCATATGCCGATTATGGCCATCTTGGTATGTACTACTATTTTCAAGATAAATTCAATATATATATATATATATATATATTTGTCTCTCGTCTACTACTTGTTCTTTTTGTACATATAGATGCAAAAACGATTGCTGAGGAATGCAATTTTAATCTCGCTGGTGAAGCTAATATTTTATCGTCTGATGATAATGATACTGAAGAGCATCACGTACATCCAACTGCAAAGAAACGATTATCTACTAAATCATTTGCCATTACTAGTTGGACAAATGTATCAAGTACGTAAATATTTCATACTATAAAAAAATACTAATATTTTATTGTAGAAGAAATTGTTATGAATGAAATTAAACAACAATTTGGTATTGAAAAAATACAATATGTATGTGTTGCAAAAGAGATTAATACACAAACAAATAAAACTCATCTTCATATACAAATTATTCTTAAAGAAAAAGGAAAAAAAAGAAGTGGATTTCTTGATAAAATAACAAGTAAATACTTATGTTAATATTTCTTCTCTTTATTGCATCAAAAAATAATTGTATAGATATAATAAAAAATAAAAAAAAACATTATATTTTTCACTTCTAGACACTCATTGTAATTATCAAGTAACAGTTAATGATCGAGCTTGGAATGCATATATTAAAAAAGGTTAGAAAATACTTTGATTCAACAAAATTGTACTTATTTATTTATTTATTTATTTTTATCATACCATCATCTAGGTTCAGATTACATTGAATTTCGTAGTTTTAAATCAACTACGAAACGTGCTGTTCAATATTGGCCATCTCAATCACCACCACCACCACCACCACCGCCATCACCATCTGTAGCATCCAATATGGTACCATTACATTCTACAATAACTACTATCAATCCTCTTCCTGCTCCTCTTACGACGACAATTACGACAACTACTGTTCAAGGAGGACGAACAGGAGCAGCAGCACCAGAGATGAAGCAAAAACACAAAGAAGTCGTCGCAAGACATGCATTTCATATAGCTAAATCTAATGTCAATGATGCTTTAATATTTATGCGAGACAATTCAATTCCAACTGAATTTCTTCGATATTCTACATGGTATAAATCATACTGTAATCATTAATTTCATTTCTATATCTATATATGAATAATTTTAGGTATAAAAATACATTTACTCTTATTTATTTATTAGAACAATATGAAAAAGCTAAAATTAAACAAAATCTCAAAGTAATCTATAAATGGCCAGAATCATTTCCTCATTGTACACCAACATTACGTATGTATAGATCATATGTTAAATAAACATTAGAAAATTATTTTATCTGTTTTTTATTTTTTATATTCTACATATTCTTACTTTTTATTTATCAAAAAAATCTAGGTGAAGTCGTCAATAGTTGGATCCGAGACGAATTACATCGTACATCACGAGCTAAATGTTTAATACTAATTGGACCAACTGGTACTGGAAAAACAACATTTGCTAAATCATTACCTGGTCAATACATTTATTTCAAAGGACGATGGCGATTAAATACTTGGAATGATTCTGCTGATTATTTAATTTTTGATGATATTGAGTGGGATCGATATGAAGAATTAGGTTTTCCTCTTAAAAAAGATTTATTAACACAAAATGGCGTCACCATTGTATGTATCAGTTCCATTCTCTTTATTTTCGACATATTTTTCTTATTTCAAATTTTTAAATTTTGTTTTAGACAACAGATAAATATGAAAAAACTAGAGAAATCGATGTTACACAACCAGCTATTGTTCTTCTAAATCCAGGTCGACCAGAAGGAGCATTAGGACGTCAACCAATTTCATACGAAGATCAATGTGAAAATTCATTTTGGCAACAACGAGCCGTAATTTATCGAATGGGTATTTATTTATAATCAGTCATCTAGATAAATAGATTACATATTTCTCTTTAATGTTGTAGGTCCTAATGAATATTTTTATAAACCAAATTATGAGCAAGACAATACCGTCAATGCAATATCAAATAATCCATCCATGAGTACTAATCAAGAACATATTGATCGTGATAGTACATACGATATATTTGATGAACTCATTGAACGTTCTCGACATCAGCATCTTAAAAAAAAAACATAGAGAACTTGTATTGAAAACAAAATAAAACATACAACACTAAGTAGACATATAAATTTTCTTTTTTTTTTTGTTTTGTTTTTGCATTTCATTTAATCAAACCTTTACTACTATCATTGTAGAAGTTATTCCTTTTTTGTTTTCATTTTGTTTTTTGTTTTCCTTATATCTATTTCTAATATATATTGTTTCATATTCATTTCACATACCTATATTTATTATTATTATTATTATTATTATTTTTTTGTTACATCCATTCATGTAGTGAACAAAAAATAAAATTCTACAATAAAATTTTCACCTATAATAGCTAGGAAACAATACTAGAATCAATTTTTGAATAGAAGAGAACTTCTCATAGTACTTATATCCATATGTGGATGATTGAGGTAACTGATCCATAGTTAATAAATGGCTTGACTAAAGACGAAACTGGTCATGATAGTTGTGTTTCAACTACAGTTATTTGGATTTTTCATTGACTAAAATATGAATTATTTCAAATTATTCAATAGAAATCTCGTCAGTGAGACGAAATCTACATTATGATAGTTGTGCTCGTTATAACCTGTACAACTTTAATCTGATCGGTTATTGCTAAGGGTCACTACTCATTCACCGATTTATTTCTCAGAAACAATTTCAATATATATATAGCTTGCGTCGACATACAAAGAAATGTGATATACGTATCACATGGAATTCTCTACTGCAATTGTTTGCAGCATAAACCAAACGAGAAGACTTAAAGTTAAGTCACAACTCGTTCTGGTACTCAGTATCACCAAAGTCGGTGAATCATTTTTACATTTTTGTATTTGCTTCCATCTAACATCAATTCTATATCTGTATAAAACTAATCCATCTTTTGAGACCTTGAAGCAAGGTCGAAAGCAGTCATAGACGTGGTATAACTCATCTAATCAAATTCAAATCTAAACACACTGTATAATTATTGAATTCATATTCTTAAACTTTCAATGATATCTAATATTTCTTTCTTTGTCTATCTTCAAGGCTGGAGAATTAGAGAATACAACGGAATATTTACGACAAATCAATGGAATTTGTTAGAAATTTCATTTTTTGTTTTTTTGTCTTTTTTTTGCCATGAGACTTATATCAAGCTTTTTCCATTTGGTAATTTGATCGACACGGAGTACGATGAGATGTCCGAAATTAATCTAATTATGACTACTTAGCAAGAAGATTGAAACACGTCATGTAATACTATCAATCTCGAAAATCTTTTATAATTAAATATTCCAGTAACGAAAAACATTGTTATCAAACATTTTGCGATATGTATTTCATTCTTACTTTTGTCACTAATTCCTAGAATTACGTTCAATCACATCTTCTCTTTTGCCCGCTTGCTTCATTCCAAACTGCATATCGCAATGGAGGGTGTGGGTGAAGGTGAAAGGTGTTTCACATTATCAAATAGTTCATTTTCTTTTGTTTCAACAAAAAAAAACAGTTCGAGAATTCTTTAATAGTAGAAGTCATAAAATGTAATCTAAAACATAATGTAGTGAGAGGACCGATGTCTAATGACTAAAACAGATATGCTACTTCCGTTAAAATAGAAAAAGATACCGTAGTTAAGATGTACGACTAACTAACATATAAGACTAAGATTTAAGTACTTGTAGATTGTCAACATACCAGCTGAGTTTGTTAAGAAAGAATGAAACGAGTCGTGTAATGCTTTGAATTTCAATTCTTTATTATATATCATTGCCTTGAAATCGTTTTAAATTTTAAAGTAACAGAATAAATTTAGTACTTAGAATTTTGTAATTCTATAGTGCAAAGTTGCCATCTGACTGAGATCTTTGAGGAAAATCGAAACACATGTGTCATGGCTGCTTGTCATATCCTACATCCTACCTAACTACTCACGCGTCCACTGTCGAGTAACCAGAACAGAGTCGAAAAATTGGCGACTGGAAAACCAGCAAGGATGAGTAAGGAGGGAATAGGTACATAGAGAGTGAAGTTAGTCAAAACCAAGGGGGAAACAGCGGACTTCAAGACTTCAAGATTTCAAAAGACTTCGAAAGACTTCAACAGACTTCAACCGCAGTGACATCATATTTTCACAAGACTTCAAAAGAGTTCTAAAGAGTTCTGAAGGCTTCATAGGACTCCAAATGACTTCACAAGACTTTATAAGACTTCGTATGACTTCATGAGACTTCATGAGACTTCATGGGACTTCAAAAGACTTCGTTAGACTTCACAGACTTCGTGAGACTTCACGGACTTCATGAGACTTCACGGATTTCATGAGACTTCAGAGACTTTGTAGGACTTCTTGAGACTTTATAAGACTTCATAAGATTTCATAAGACTTCACAAGACTTCAAGAGACTTCACAAGACTTCAAGAGACTTCAAGAGACTTCAAGAGACTTCATGAGACTTCATGAGACTTCATGAGACTTCAAGAGACTTCATGAGACTTCATGAGACTTCATGAGACTTCATTAGAATTCATTAGAATTCAAGAGACTTCAAGAGACTTCATGAGGCTTTATGAGACTTCATTAGACTTCATGAGACTTCATTAGACTTCATGAGACTTCACAAGACTTCACAGGACTTCAAGAGGCAGATTCCATGCGTATCAAAAAAACCTTATAGAAATTACATGAAACTTCTATAACATGCAAAAAACAAAACTTATCATATAGAGATTACAAAAGTGTTTCTTGTTTCTGAGAATTGTTTCTCGCAGTATATCCATATCTAGAATAAAGATGTGACAATGACACAAAGCGTTGATGAAATTAAAACAGAGAAAATAAACTTTACTGGTATGCGTATGTTTGATTCGATTAATCCAGCATTGGAAAACTCCTATTTTCAGGTGCAAATAAATAACAAGACTAAATTTATACACAAGCAAACGACTTGTTGGTTATTGACCGACGAAGCTAGCCGTTTATCGGCTGATAGATTGTCACGAGTGATAGAAATAAACAAAAAGGAATAAAATTCTTCATAAGATTGACATCGAATAAATGAAACATTTCTTATAAAAATAAACCACTTCATTCAAAAAGCATTCAGTTCTTAACTATCATGTTTTCTAAGATCCAACAAACTTGAATTTTTTCCAGTACCTTGACAAACAAACAATAAAAAGTTCACCTTTCTGCTAAAATAAGACCGTCGAAAACAAGACAATTTCATTGCTTTTTTATGAATTTTCATGCACTAAATGTATTTCAAA